ATGGACAATGCCGCGCCACCGCGCAGACGTTGCTGCGCTGCTGGGCAAACACGGTCGCACGGCATCCCCCACCCGCGCACCCTTCGACAAACTAACACGACGAAACAAGTTGGGGTGGGGGGGGGGGCGGGTTGCGCGCGTGTGTCAGAAAGAGAGAGAGAGAGAGAGAGAGAGAGAGAGAGAGAGAGAGAGAGAGAGAGAGAGAGAGAGAGAGAGAGAGAGAGAGAGAGAGCCCGACACACACAAGTATATATACATATACATATAATATATATAATATATAAATACATATGTTTATGAATATAAAAATTCAGGGGGGTTGAAATAAAGAAAAAAGAAAGAAAGAACAATTCAAGAAAACGTTTTTTTTTTTTTCTTCACCAAATTGTCCACATTTTTGCTATGCCAGCCTGACATAGTTGTCCCAGTATCGGTACAAAGGTCTGTCGTACGACTGTTTCTTTACAACTAAAGCTCACCTTTCGTCACCATTGAAGTGTAACAGCTCCCACCTCCCTTTGTCTTTACCGTCATAAAAACAACACAATGAAAAATCAATCAAGCGGGACTCGATGCTCTCTATCATTTTCAATCAGAACCATTTAGACCCATAGACTTTAGCTCTCTTGCACAAGCCGTTTCTCCGCACATCCCTCGCTCATCGGTGACTTGGCAGGGAAGTTTTTTTTTTTGTTTTTTGTTTTTTTGACTTGGCATGGCAGGGAAGTTATATCTTCTTGATCGTAAATGATAGAGCATCGCCTCGCACATGCCTCGCACATGCCTCGCACATGCCTCCGCTCATTATTGTCCGTCCGGTTTTAAGTGCGAGCCTTGGCCCTAAGCTAGCAGCTGCTGTATCACTCCCCCCTCCGATCGAAGTTGTGAGACTTGGCACATAATGAAATCGGGTTGGCATGGCTATGAACAAATCTCCCACCCTCGCCACGTTCAGACCGATCCAAATATACAACTGATCCACCATCCTCACGATCCGGAAATGGAAAAGAAAGTCCAGTGAGTGTTCGCTGAAGCATCTTTGTTCAGGCCCTCCTTCAGGTAGCCCTGAATCATGATCTGGAAAAAAAATTAAAAAAATCGTGATCTGGAGAGGTTGCGGGTGCTGACATGTTATGCGGTAAATTGAATCAGCCGTTAATTATTGGCGCCAAAGCTGCTCCTGCGGCGATAAACTCCTTCGTTAATGTGTATCTACCCCCACTTTCGGCCGTCTTCGCAAGAAAACGGTTTCCAGAACGTACACAAAGTCTGTTCTTGATTTTATTTCTGTCATTTTTTTCCTTTTTCAACCCTTTTTTTTTTTAGTTTTCCGGCACTGCATGGGGGCTTTTTCAACCCTTTACATGGCTACCGGCCCCTGAAGTCCAAAAATGATAATAATAATAACTATAAAAAAAAAAAAAAACGAAAAACAAACAAACCGTGTACAGATCACGAAAAAAAGAAAAGCAAGAAAAGCCAAAAAAACTAAACCAAATGTACATATGATGAGTCGGTGAAACTCCGACGAAACAGTTTGTCACAGCCCCTCGTTTGTTGTCCTCTTCTCCCTCTCTGCCTACGGTTTACCGGCCAGTTCTATTTGACGATATATATATCGTCACAAACAGTAGCAGATTGGCGTGGGACCACTTAACTGGGCGGGGCAGGGAAATTAAATTGCATATATTTTTTTTTTAATTAAGTTTTTAACAAATTAACATTATATTTTAGTGGGGGATACCACGTGGCCGTGTTTGCCCGGCAGCGCGGCAATGGCTGCACGTCTGCGTGGCGGCTTGGCATTGTCTGTATGTCGGGCAGGGGGGGGGAGGGGAGGGGGAAGAGAGAGAGAGACACACAGAGAGACAGAGAGAGAGTGAGCGCTCTGCCTTTTGGGAATGTATCTTCCTGCTTTTGT